AGAGAGGGAGAGAGGGAGAAAGGGAGAAAGGGAGAGAGGGAGAGAGGGAGAGTAAGGGGTGGGGGGAAGGAAAGAGAGAGAGAGAAATAAAGGAAAAAGGGTACGAACCGAAAAACGAAAAATGACCTAGTAAACACAACATAAAAGAACTCAAGACCTTTCATAGGATAATTCAGGCAATTAAAATTCAATAGCATAATTTTAATAAAAATAGGAAGAACGTATAATCAAGCATGAATATATTATAAGGACAGTCTAAAGATCCAGTATTACATACTTCTTTTAATGATATGTCCATTCCTATCGCATCCTGTACAGCGGTCTCCCACTGATAGGAATTATTCAGTCTTGTTTTCAAGTAATCCCAGTCGGCTCCAACAGATCCTATATACAACAACAAGATCAACATATCTTAGGTATCACATGATAGGGTTTGGATGGTGGTGTGAAACGCTTGAGCTGGAACATCATATTGCTTACTATCAATCACGTGACTATTTGGAGTTAAATCGGGGGCTAACAAGCGGTTGACTGGGGGGCAACTAGCGGGTGTTAAGTCAAAACATGTTAAAATACGTCCTCAAACTATTGTATTTGACTATTTTTTAGATATGAAACCAGAAAACAATGGATCAAAACAACCTCCATGGTTCTATTCTCGACTTTCACATCCCCATAATGCCTTGCGTCTTTGGCGGGTAACCAATCAAAAACTGTCCCAAATTGAAAGGTTTCTTAATTGAATTTATACTATACCTGCTTTTATCCGTACAATAATGATTATCAGTTTATTCCAAGTTATTTTTGCGTGTACAGATCATCAAGAGTTTTGGTCTTACAGAAAATGTATTTAAAATGTTTCGAATTTACCTTAAACGTCTTCAAGCTTCTATCTTTTTCTGTTTTTGACTTCTTCATTTTATCTTTGGATACCAAGCAAGGTATTTTCAACATTGTCTGATCAGCCTTCAGCAAAATAAGTGGGTTTTTACCCTTTAGTTGCCCCCCAAAGACGCAAAGTATTATAGGGATGTGAACCTACACTATATGCCATTTTAGTTTTGATAGCCTCTAAGCTTCTAAATTAGCACAACCGTTAATATAATGTTTTAATGGACGTCAATCAAAGTGTTTTCATGACATTCAAGCAAGATAAAAGTTCTCAAGGTCAGGTGCCTATGTAATGTTAAAGAAAATYCTTGATTTACGATCAAAGAAAAACCTATGTCGCGACGACCTTAATCGAAGACTATATTTTTAAAATTTGGAGAAAAAATCCATTAATTAAAGTAAGCAAATTATATCATCATATAGTTCTTGGTTGTCTTCGATTTTAAATCATTTTCACGCCTTATCAAATATTTTTAATTATTTTTAAAACAAGCGAAATAGTTATTTTTGGCCAACTTTGGCACAAAGCTATGAACTATAGCCCATGGTTTTGATCGATTTGTGCACCTTATAAAAAAATATCCATTACTTGTGAAGAACGAAAAATAAGTCTTTGGCTCTTTCTTGGATAACAGCATGGCCTACAGCCCATGGTTTTGTTTTGAACTATTTTCACACTTTTTAAAAAACTTATCCATTAATTATGAACAATAAAAATTAGGCCATTTTTGGCCATTTTTGGCC